ACTCTTTACTCTCCACCGAGGAAAATCGTGTATCGCGAACGCGAGTCAAATTCTATCTGCCTTTCGAGGCCCGCATTGTCTTGCTTTCTCTCCATTTTTTCCACGACCTTATTTTTATTTTTAGTGATTAGCCTATCTATTATTTTTAAAACTTTCGCTGTTATTATTGTTCAGAAGTAAGTTGACCCCAGGTCAAGAACTTTATTATTTGTTCAAAGAGAATGAAGAAGTAGGTCGATAATTTGAAATTCTATAATTTTTGAGTTAATCCGGCACGGGGCAGCACGCACTGAACCTACACGCCGCGCTTCAAGCGTTCGATTATCGAATCGATCGGGATGAACTGCCTCGTCATCGAACCTGGGCATTCGCTCCTGGCACGGCTTTGCGATTAGTCACATGTGGGTTTTCCGTCGCGATTCTAATTGTTCGTAGTTCGTTTGATTAATAAAAAAAATAATCAGATTGATATTCTGCTGTGATTCAGTGATAAGTGAGATGTGAAATACGTTCACTTTGACATTCGCTAATTAACGGTAGCAACAAGGTGCGCCGTTATATACGCGACATAAAATTTGCGCTCAAAACATTGTTAACGAAGCGGAATTCAGTGATTTGGGACCAGAATTCACGCAATGGTGAAATATCAAGGTGCCGAAGTCCGATTGTTTCCACGAACGTAATAATTGTATACATGAGGCTCGCGCGTGTTCGCTTGGCACGCGTAGATCACGTGAGTTGGAGCGCGCAGATCACGTGATCAGTCATCTGGGACTGATACCTGATGTCGTGATTGTGTTTGCGTTCCTTTTTTTTCATCCCTTCGAGCCCGTGGTGCTCAACGCACTGTAACATTTATGTGATCAGTGATTCTTCATGTTAATTGAAACATTTCGGTTCGCGATTTAATATCGCATTCGCCGCAATCGGCAACGTGTACGAAATCTTAATGTGAGATTTCGAACGATTCGATACACGAGTTTCGAGCGTGTTCATCGTAACTAGCAATTGTTATGCAACAAATAGTTTTTCGGTGGTGTCCATGCAACACATGCTAGATACCATATAGTGAGACATTTCGGACTGCTTAACAACCACGTCGTACGTGTTTTCGCGGTGACTATTTTATTCGTTAATAGATAAAGATTTTATGTAAAGGTTTCAAATTAATTTGCGTTTATGTACATTGTGACTCTCGGACAAATTTAGTTAATAAATGGATTGTTTTTGTGTAATTTGTGCATATATTCGTATTCTGGTCTCGATTCGGCACGTGGCTTAAATCGTTACCCATCCTGCGCACCAATCGGAGCGCGTCCACCCTCCTTAAGATACAGTCCACTTTGAATCTTCCTGTGCAATCTATACACGAGACGGATATCGACGATCGGATTTACAACCCGATTGTCAGGATCCGTAGCTTCGTGCGTGAGCGTTCAACGTCAGCAATCGAGCGTACGCGCAAACATTTTTTGGTCCTTCGAGCCGGATGGGAGAGTAATGACGAATCGAGAACACTGAATTAAGGACACCAGTGATATTTAAGTGCAGCGTGATTCGAGATACAGTCAGTCAAGTAATCGCGTTTAAGTAGACAATCGTGTTAGTGACATATTCATAAACAACTATAGTGTCAAAATGGAAGACGCTCTTGCAAATCAGCAAACTATCTTCCACTCAATTGCTCGAGCTCTCGACAATTTCAAAAAGATTGGTCGTTCTAATTTGACGGCCGCAAGGGTTCGCTCACGGATTGCGACTTTACAAGCTCAATGGACTCAAGGTGTGCACAATCACACCATTCTGCTTCAACTTGTTCCAGAGGATGATCAAGGGTCAATTAATTATTTCAAGAAGAATCAATTCGACCTTCACGAAGATCTCTATCAATCAGCCCTGGATCATATGAACGAATGTCTAGAAGACCTGGTTCCTGTCGTAAGTCGAGATACATCCCTCGAAACTTCTTTTGCGCAAATGGACGCATCGTCATTCTCGTTAAAGCATCTCCCTCCTATTAAATTACCGCCTTTTTCTGGAAAAAACGAGGATTGGGAGACCTTTCGCGACCGTTTTCAGTCGTTGATTATAGATAACAAAGAATTGTCAAATTTCACTCGTATGCATTTTTTGATCTCTAGTTTGACAGGTCCGGCCCGCGATGCGATATCAGGAATCAAAGTAACCGCCGAAAATTTTAAGGTCGCGTGGAAAGCGTTAACCACGCGTTTCGAGAACAAACGACGGTTGATCGAAGTACATGTGTCGACCTTATATCATCTTCCAAAGATGACTCGCGAATCAGCGTCAGAACTTCACGAGTTGCGAGATAAAACGGAACAAGCGTTAGCGACATTGAAACGTCTTGATCGTACAGCAGAGGATATTGTAAGCGATATATTAGTATACTTCATTTCACAAAAGTTTGATTCTGCTACGCGTCGAGCGTGGAAATTGAAGAGTAGCGATAACGAAAATCCTCCAACGTACAAAGACTTGATACGTTTCATATCTTCGCGCGCTATAGCGCTTGAGGAACTCCATCCTCACGAACACGATAAAACGAAGTCACATTCGAGAGTGACAAGCGCCACCGCAACTGCGTCAGTTAATTTGTCATGTCCAATTTGTAAACAATCTCACTTTCTCTCTAAGTGTCAACAATTTCTTTCAATGAGCACGGATCAACGACGCGAATTGATAAAGAAACTTAAGCGATGTTTCAATTGCTTAAGCGATAAGCACGTAGCACTTAATTGTCAGAGTAAATTCACGTGTCGCAAATGTAGCAAGCGGCATCACACAATGATCCACGTTGACTCGGGCTCATTGCAACAAACAACGAGCATTCCTGCGTCATCGAGTTCGCAGAATGTTACTAATATATCAAATGTCACAGCGCTTTCAGCGGTCACGTTAACTACATCACCGACTCCTGTGGTGTTGTCTACGGCAACGGTGAAAATACATTCGCTTTCTGGACGTTCCTTAACTGTCAGAGCCTTACTTGACGGTGGTTCAGAACTCACATTTCTTACGGAACGCGTAGCGCAAATTTTACGCTTACCTCGTATGCAAACATTTACTTCAACTTCGGGGATTAGCTGTGCAGATACCGGTACATGCCGATCTGCCGCGTTAATTAATATTTCGCCTCGCGATAAACCTGAGCCAACCTTCACCACGGTAGCTTACATCATGAGAGCATTGACGAAGTATGCTCCCAGACACGCTTCGTCATTACGTGACTGGAAACACATCTCCAACTTGACCTTAGCGGATGACGATCCGACTGGATCAACTCCTATTGACCTCATTATTGGAGCTGATTTGTATAGCAAGGTTCTTGTCAATATACGCAATGGACCCATAGGTCAACCAGACGCTATACAATCGCATTTCGGGTGGATTCTATCTGGACCTACGTCAATCCCTAATCATGTCATACAAAACACCCATGTAGTCGGCTCTACTTTGGTTTCATCGCATGTCGGAGCCCAACCTCAAGGCTCACCATTACCCAGTTCACAACAAAGGTATCATGCAGTTGCTCACTGCTGCTCCTTGGAACGGCAATTATGTAAGTTTTGGGAGGTTGAAGAAACTCCTCAACATGTTCATGCGTCCATAGAAGATAAACAATGCGAGGATCACTTTCAACGCACGCATACTAGAACAGCAGATGGCAGATATGTCGTGCGACTCCCTTTTAAAGAGGGCCCGCCTATTAAAATAGGCGACTCTCGCAGCATAGCTGAACGCCGACTTTCGTCGCTAATTCGTAAATTTGCTCGTCAACCCACACTTGCACAAGAATATTTGGACTTCATGCGCGAATATGAGCAATTAAATCATATGAAGCAAGTCGCTCCTTTGCATTCAAATAATGTTCAAGCGACCTATATACCTCATCATCCAGTCATCAAGGAGACAAGTTCGACAACCCGTTTAAGAGTCGTGTTCGACGCCTCCTGCCTCACATCCAATGGAACGTCTCTCAACTTTCACATGTACACCGGCCCAAAATTGCAGTCCGATCTACAAGCAGTTATATTGCGCTGGAGGCAATATAAATATGTATATTCTGCGGACATCGCTAAAATGTATCGCCAAATATTAATCGATCCTAGAGATAGAGACTACCAACGGATACTGTGGGTCGACCACAACTCAACTATACAGGAATATCAACTCCTTACCGTTACTTACGGCACTGCGTCAGCACCGTTTCTTGCTCTTCGAGTAATCCAACAATTGAACTGTGACGAGGGAGATTCATTTCCGTTAGCCTCTCCCATCCTAAGAGAAAACATCTACGTCGATGATGTATTATTTGGTGCAGACGATATCACACTGTTAAAGCAAGCTCGCACTCAACTTTGTAATTTGCTGAACCGTGGTGGTTTCGATCTCCGGAAATGGGCCAGTAACCACTCAGAATTGCTTTCAGATATTCAGCCTGACAATCATGGATTGGCTTACGCAAAAAATTTGGAGACTGATGACAGTCTAAAAATCCTCGGTATTGTCTGGAACCCGAAACATGACTGCTTTCAGTTTCAAATTACATTATCTGAAACTGTTCCTAACACCAAACGAGCAATTCTATCAACAATAGCAAGATTATTCGACCCGCTCGGGTGGGTCACACCTGCGATTTTAAAGGCGAAAACTCTCATGCAGCAATTATGGCGACACCGTATCGGATGGGACGACATTATTCCGGACGAAATCTTATCATCCTGGAAGTCTATCTACGAGTCATTACCCTATCTACGAAAAATTCAACTGAGTCGCTGGACAGGTTTTGAGTCCGGAACGGCAACTGTGGAATTACACGGGTTCGCGGACGCATCCACAATCGCTTACGCAGCAGTGGTGTTTTTACGCGTGACATCCTCCTCTGGGAAAATTACGGTCTCGCTCATTGCTGGGCGATCTAAAGTCGCGTCTCTTAAACCAATGACGGTTCCTCGCCTCGAACTTTCTGCTGCCGTTCTGCTAGTTCGCTTGATTGACTTTATCAAGCAGTCACTTCATTTAAGCGACATTGCGATTTATTGTTGGACAGACTCCACTGTAGTTCTCGCATGGCTCAAGAAGCACCCCTCAAATTGGAAAACTTTCGTAGCTCATAGAGTAGCCGAAATTCAGACACGATTACCAACCGGTAGTTGGCATCACGTAAACACCAGTGAAAACCCCGCAGACTGTGCTTCGCGCGGATTACTCGGCCGAGATTTGATATCCATCAACCTATGGTGGCATGGGCCGTCATGGTTGCATCTTCATTCTGATGAGTGGCCTCATCAAATTCTATCAGAGCACCACGAAACTCAGTTGGAACTGAAGGCATGTGAAGCTCATCAAAACAGTACTCGTGAAGACTGGAGTCTTGCTGCACGGTATTCATGGTGGCCAAAATTGATACGCGTCACTGCATATATATACCGATTCATAAACAAATGTCAACGGAAGCACGCGGCAGATCACAAAGATCACGTCCGGTCCCACGCCATTACAGCATTTGAGTACATGCAGTCTCGTAACTTTTGGTTGCATATGATTCAAGCAGAGGTGTTCAAGCAAGAACTTTACTTACTCAAGTCAAACAAGAGGTTATCAAGAAACAGCGCTCTGATATCATTAAATCCATTCCTAGACGCAAATGGTCTACTCCGCGTTGGCGGAAGATTGGAGCATTCTCATCTACCATTTCAATCCAAACATCCAGTTCTACTAGCTGATCATCCAATTACTACAATGCTCATTCGCTACACGCACATAGCCTCGCTGCACGCCGGTCTTCAGTCTACCCTGTCTAAAATTCGCCAAGAATTTTGGATTATAAAATCTAGGCCTTTAGTTAAATCAGTTATCTACAGGTGCGTTCGATGCACGCGAGAAAGAGCTCAGGTAGCCAATCAGTTAATGGGTCAACTCCCATCAACTCGAGTCTCAACGCCAACGAGGGCGTTTTTGCACAGCGGCATCGATTATGCCGGTCCAGTGCTCATTCGAGCCTCTGCTGGTCGAGGAATCACCTCACGAAAGGCTTACATAGCCGTTTTCATATGTTTGGCAACTCGAGCCATTCATCTCGAGTTGGTCAGCGATTATTCAACGCCAGCATTTTTGAACGCATTTCAACGATTTTGCGCCAGACGAGGCTTGCCAGCAGTTATGTATTCGGATAACGGTACAACATTCACAGGAGCCGATAAAGAGCTATCCCGCGCGTATCGGGATGCTCAACGCAATACGGATTTTCTCAATTTAATCGCAACAGATAGGATCACTTGGAGTTTCATCCCGCCTCATGCTCCTCATTTTGGAGGACTATGGGAGGCAGGAGTGAAGAGTGTCAAACACCACCTTCGTCGAATTGTAAGCTCACACGCATTGACATTTGAGGAGTTCACGACAGTGTTGTGCAAAATTGAGGCTATCCTCAACTCAAGGCCGCTTTCTCCACTCAATGATACTCCAGATGACTACGAGTTCCTGACCCCAGGTCACCTTTTGATTGGGACTGCCATTACTACGAATCCGGAACCTTCCGTTCTACAATTGAACGAAAACAGATTGTCGCGATGGCAATTACTCAGACAGATTACGGAGCGTTTTTGGAAGCAGTGGCAGTCAGATTATGTCAATACTCTTCAACAAAGATCAAAGTGGCGTCGAGAAACGCCTCCGATTCAGGTTGGCTCAATGGTTTTGATTCAAAACCCCCTTCTCCCACCGTGTAAATGGGAATTAGGGCGAGTTATTCATTGTCATCCGGGCTCTGACGGGTTAACTCGAGTCGTCTCAGTTAAAACAGCGACGTCCGAATACAAGCGACCAGTAACTAAATTGTGCCTACTACCTATCGATATTAACTTAATCGATCAACTGTCGGAACGTAAGACAGGTACTGCGGAAAACCCAACTCCATAATGCGCATGCAACGTCTCAATCGTTCGCATAATTAGGACAAGTCAAGTCCTTCGTAGTTAGTTAAGGCGGGCGGCGCTCAATATCCTTGACTACTCAAGACCACTCGCGTCGCGTTAATGTAAGTTTAGTAAGAATCTATGTCTTAATATTGTTATTCAATCATGTAAGCAACCAAATGCCTGTTATTGTTCAATATGTAATCACTGAATCTCACTCGAAAAATCATTAAGCGATTAACGTTTTATTTTTTTTTTTTTTTTTTCTTTATGTAACAAAAAAAAAAAACCCAAACCTGGGGTAAGTTCTTTAGTTACTGTAAGACATTTCGAAATCTTTATTTCGAGGCGGGCGGTATGTTCAGAAGTAAGTTGACCCCAGGTCAAGAACTTTATTATTTGTTCAAAGAGAATGAAGAAGTAGGTCGATAATTTGAAATTCTATAATTTTTGAGTTAATCCGGCACGGGGCAGCACGCACTGAACCTACACGCCGCGCTTCAAGCGTTCGATTATCGAATCGATCGGGGATGAACTGCCTCGTCATCGAACCTGGGCATTCGCTCCTGGCACGGCTTTGCGATTAGTCACATGTGGGTTTTCCGTCGCGATTCTAATTGTTCGTAGTTCGTTTGATTAATAAAAAAAATAATCAGATTGATATTCTGCTGTGATTCAGTGATAAGTGAGATGTGAAATACGTTCACTTTGACATTCGCTAATTAACGGTAGCAACAAGGTGCGCCGTTATATACGCGACATAAAATTTGCGCTCAAAACATTGTTAACGAAGCGGAATTCAGTGATTTGGGACCAGAATTCACGCAATGGTGAAATATCAAGGTGCCGAAGTCCGATTGTTTCCACGAACGTAATAATTGTATACATGAGGCTCGCGCGTGTTCGCTTGGCACGCGTAGATCACGTGAGTTGGAGCGCGCAGATCACGTGATCAGTCATCTGGGACTGATACCTGATGTCGTGATTGTGTTTGCGTTCCTTTTTTTCATCCCTTCGAGCCCGTGGTGCTCAACGCACTGTAACATTTATGTGATCAGTGATTCTTCATGTTAATTGAAACATTTCGGTTCGCGATTTAATATCGCATTCGCCGCAATCGGCAACGTGTACGAAATCTTAATGTGAGATTTCGAACGATTCGATACACGAGTTTCGAGCGTGTTCATCGTAACTAGCAATTGTTATGCAACAAATAGTTTTTCGGTGGTGTCCATGCAACACATGCTAGATACCATATAGTGAGACATTTCGGACTGCTTAACAACCACGTCGTACGTGTTTTCGCGGTGACTATTTTATTCGTTAATAGATAAAGATTTTATGTAAAGGTTTCAAATTAATTTGCGTTTATGTACATTGTGACTCTCGGACAAATTTAGTTAATAAATGGATTGTTTTTGTGTAATTTGTGCATATAATTCCGTATTCTGGTTCTCGATTCGGCACGTGGCTTAAATCGTTACCCATCCTGCGCACCAATCGGAGCGCGTCCACCCTCCTTAAGATACAGTCCACTTTGAATCTTCCTGTGCAATCTATACACGAGACGGATATCGACGATCGGATTTACAACCCGATTGTCAGGATCCGTATTTTTTGCGTGAGCGTTCAACGTCAGCAATCGAGCGTACGCGCTTTATTATGTTCGGAAATCGAAATCTACCTTCGTCATGTTAGTCACCTATTTGTTTATTTATTATTTTGTGTCCCCGGTCGCGATATTCTTAACACACGTCGCTTGTAATATATTTTTATTTCGTGTAAATTCTATTTTATATATATTTTAATATGCTTGTGGCATTTATCGCCACAGTACCCCCCTTCTAGTGGTTTTCTAATTTTCGACCGCGTGTTATTGCACAATTATTTTATCACCGCCTATTCGTCGATTCGAGTCGTTATTAGTCACCGCGTCAATGTATAATCTCGCGTGGAGAGATAAATAGGAAACAAAAACAATATAAATTAATAATAATATAAATTAAAATTTTGTCCGACACGCCGCGTTACATTATATATCGATCCGGAAATCGGACCCTTCGACCGCTCCTCGTTCGTGTCTCTCGTCTTTCACTCGCTGGCTGCGCCTTATTCGACTGCTCCGGGTCCAGTCTCATTTCTCTGTCTCCAGGAGTCCTTGCCGTCGGCGACGCTTTGTTAGCCTGTTTCTCTGAAATCAAATATGCTGGTTTTAAACGATCAATGGATATCGTTTGCTCTTTGCCGTGCATACGCACGACAAAGGTTTTTTCTCCGCGTCAAACCACCGTGTAGGGCCCATCGTATGGCATCTGCAATTGTGTTTTCGGCCCGTCGTGCCGAACAAACACACTCTCCGTGGTTCCCAGCTGTTTGTATACAAACGGGCGTCGTTCTCCGTGCTGCGTGATCTCGACCGGCCGGACCTCCTCGAAATGACGTCGCAACTCCTTCACGAAATTGCTGGCGTCTCTCTCCTCGCCGGGCTGCTTATTCAAGAATGTCCTGGCAGTCTGAGCGTTTCTCCATATACCAGCTCGGCCGCCGTCGCCTGCAGATCGTCCTTCCACGCCGCTCTTATGCCCATCAGAACTGTCGGCAGCACATCCGTCCACCAGTCCTTCTGATGGCACTTGATCAATGCTTTTAATTGGCGGTGCCATCGTTTCACCATGCCGTTGGCCTGGGGGTAATAGGCAGTCGTCCTCAGGTGGTTAGATCCTAGCAATCCGCTCAACTCCTTGAAGAGGTGCGCCTCGAATTGCTGTCCCTGGTCGGTTGTTATTCTCAACGGCACGCCGAATCTGCTTATCCAGCCGTGGTAGAATGTCCTTGCGACTGTCTCTGCCTCCTGGTTCTCCATGGGAAACGCCTCCGGCCAGCGCGTGAATCGATCGATGCAAGTCAAGCAATATTTATTTCCGTCTAATATCGGCATATTAATGATATCCACGTGCACATGCTCAAATCTCTGACTTGGTAGCTCGAAAATGCCTCTCGGTGATTTTACGTGGCGTGTAATTTTCGCTCGCTGGCACTCGATGCATGCACGTGCCCATGTACTACAGTCCTTTTTTATTGACGGCCAGACGTAACGCTGTGTCACCATCTTCACCGTCGCTCGTATCCCCGGGTGTGCCAGTCCGTGTAGCATATTGAATGCGGCCCTCCGAAAAGGCCTTGTCGAAAATGGTCTCGGAATCTTCGTCATTGTATCGCACCATATCGTAGTGCCTGCGCCTGGAATCTCTATTTTTTTTAATTTGAGTCGCCCTCGATGTACTCGTTGCACTCCGCATCGTCCTCCTGCGATCTCGCGAGTGCCTCGTAGTCCAGCGGTGTTTTTATCTCCTCTATGCGTGATAGCGTGTCCGCCACTACATTCTCTTCTCCTCTCACGTGTCGTACGTCTGTCGTAAATTGTCCGACAAAATCTAGATGCCGAAATTGTCGCGGCGTGCATTTTTCAGGCTTTCTCTGAAATGCATACGTGAGAGGTTTGTGGTCCGTATAAATTGCAAAGGTCTGTGCCTCGACCATGTGGCGGAAGTATTTGATAGCTAAATAAATCGCCAAAAGCTCTCGATCAAATGCGCTGTACTTGGCTTCCGTCGGACTTAATTTTTTTGAAAAGAAGCCCAGTGGTTCCCAAACTTCTTCCGCTCGCTACTGCAGTACGGCTCCCACGCTGCTGTCCAATGCGTCCGTGAATAGGGCAAGCTCCGCGTTCACTTTCGGGTGCGATATCAGAGTAGCTTGCACCAAGTTACTTTTTGCGTCCTTGAACGCCTGTCTCGCTGCCGGCGTCCACTTAATGAGCGTCTTTTCTTTAATATCGCCATGCAGTAACTCGTTTAATGGCGCCTGAATTTCCACGGCTTTTGGCAGACATCTCCGGTAGAAATTAATCATTCCCAGATATCGCCTCAGTTCTTTTGCCGTTTTCGGCTCCTCGAACTCCTCGATCGCCCATACGCGCGCCGGCAATGGTCGTGTGCCGTGTCCGCTCACTTCATATCCGAGGAATTCGACTTCCGCTTGTCCGAACACGCACTTTCCCGGATTAATCACGACGCCGTATGTTTGTAATCGCTCGAACAATGTTTGTAGGTGTTTGTTATGCTCTTCGGCCGTCGTTGACGCGATCAGAATGTCGTCAATGTACGCGTAATAAAAGTCGAGTCCGCGCAAGACCTCGTCGATGAACCGTTGGAAAGTCTGCGCCGCGTTTCTCAATCCGAACGACATAAACGGGAACTCGAACATGCCGAACGGCGTAGTGATCGCGGTCTTCGGAATATCACTTTCCGCCACCGGTATCTGGTGGTACGCGCGCACTAGGTCGATCGTCGAGAACACCCGTTTGTCTCTTAGTTCCATCGTGAAATCCTGAATGTGCCGGACCGGGTACCAATCCGGGATCGTCCGTGCATTTAACGAGCGATAGTCACCGCACGGTCGCCACTTTTTACCTCTCTTCGGCACCATATGTAGCGGAGACGCCTAACTACTTTTCGACGGTCTCACGATACCGAGCTCCATCATTTTTTGGAACTCTTTTCGCGCTGCGGTCAATTTATCCGGCGCAAGTCTCCGCGGTCTGCACACTACCGGCGGCCCCGGGGTCGTCTCGATAAAATGTTTCGTGTTATGTCGCACCTCTTTCGGGCGCCCGTCAGGTCGTACAATGTCCGGATATCGCGCTAAGAGTTTATGATACGGCGTCACTCCCGTCACCGTTCGTATGGTCGGCATTCCGCACTGTGCACTACGTCCCCCGGCTACGAGTCCCGTCGCCTGATTGACTAGCCGACGATTCCGCAAGTCCACCAGGAGTCCGTAGTAAGACAGAAAGTCCGCGATAATCGGCCTCGACACATCTGCGAGTACGAATCGCCACGTAAAGTTCCGTCGTAATCCGAGATTTAATGTTAAAGTCTCGGTTCCGTAGGTATGGATCACCGTTCCATTCGCTGCGGATAACTCGTACGTCGATTTCTGCCGCGGCCCACGCACCATCCTGCGAGGAAAAACGCATAGGTCTGCGCCTGTATCCACGAGGAAGTTAATTCGCGTGTCGCGGTCAGTTACAAATAGACGGCGCGAATCCTGGCCTTGATCACCGGCCGTCATCAGTGACGGGCCATCGCGTTTTCCTGCGGCTGTCCGGCACACGGGGGCTCACATCTTCGTGCGTCCGGTCCGAATCTCTAATGGTAGTAACACAGATGGTTTGACGCGTGACCACGGACGCGAGAGCGCGATCGCGAACGCTCCCGCCTGCGACGACCACCGCCGTCGCTCCGGCGAGGTTCTCGCTCTTCTAACGCCTCGATGCATTTTCGCAAGCCAGTCATTTGTTCCGCGAACTCTTGCTGCATGGCCATACGCATCTGTGTCATCTGCACATTGATCCTCGCTTCCAATACAGCTATTCCGTTTCCGTCGGCACCCGCGAACGCCGTCGGCCGAGCCGCTTCCGCGACGTGCACCGCGGGCGCTCTCGTTGCCTCCACGATCGCGTCCGCCATATTCGCGAGCGTCTCCAGCGTATCTCCCACGCGCGTTACAAGATGTGGCTGCAAATAAACGGGTAGTCGACTCAACCAAATGGTGCGCAGGACTTCATCCCCGACGACATTACCGGCGAGACCTCGAAGGTGCCGCAAAAATTGTGTCGGTTTGCGGTCGCCTATCTCCTCATACTTCAGGAGCCGACGCGTCTTGTGCTCCTGCGACAAGCTTAATCTTTTGATCAGCTCGCATCTCACAGTCTCGTACGCGCGTTCCGCTGGCGGGTTCATTATTATGTCGCGTACCTTCATCGCGTGTCGCGGACCGATCGCCGTAAGAACGTAACCGAACTTGGTCGCGTCCGTAGTAATTCCAGCGGCCTGGAAGCTCCAATCTATTATATTAAACCACAATTCCGGATCCCCGGAAGTAAATTCCGGCATCCTCATGCCTACGCGATTTACTTCGGCGCCCGCCATGAACAGGCAAGGTCGTTCAACCGCTTGTTGCGACGTCCCTGGCACAGGCAGTGCATCTCGTCTCGGCTGCTCAATTTGTATTAACGGAGGGGCAGCCTCATCGTCGCGCGTCAACACCATACTGTCACTTTTCTATGCATTCTCCAAAATCCGTATCACGATTTTTGGCAATGTCCACAGCACTTTGCGTCACCTTTTATCACGTCGGGGTCACCACTTTGAGAGCGCGTGTCTTAGTTCGATAATTAATGTTCTGCCAATATCGCGAATCAGGAGAGGATATCTTAGACGGAATAATTATTAGATGTTATACAGTATATTGTCTTTTACTCCGTTTATTCGAGTCACACAAAGAATATAAACTCTTTACTCTCCACCGAGGAAAATCGTGTATCGCGAACGCGAGTCAAATTCTATCTGCCTTTCGAGGCCGCGCATTGTCTTGCTTCTCTCCATTTTTCCACGACCTTATTTTTATTTTTAGGTGATTAACCTATCTATTATTTTGAAGAACTTTCGCTTTTTATTATGTTCGGAAATCGAAATCTACCTTCGTCATGTTAGTCACCTATTTGTTTATTTATTATTTTGTGTCCCCGGTCGCGATATTCTTAACACACGTCGCTTGTAATATATTTTTATTTCGTGTAAATTTTATTTTATATATATTTTAATATGCTTGTGGCATTTATCGCCACAGTTTGTTATATTCCAATACATATTGTTGCAAAAAGACGCCTCAATGCAAATGTTTGCTATAATCGGAGAAACGAAAAAAAAACATTTTGTGGCTGCGTTCTCATTATTTCTCACGCGAATGGGCGATGGAGGGGCCCATTTTATTCTCGATATTTAAAAAAATATTATATAATATTTTTTCATTATCGAGTTACATATAATTATCAATATAATTACTTATCATTCACATGTGTGTGTATAAATATATTTACTGAGCATTCACATGTATGTATAAATATATTTACTGAGTGTTTTAAATAAAACGTTACAATTTTTTATTTCTAAAACTATAATTTTTACTATAATAAATTATTGTATAAGTAGAAACTTTCAGACTTTTAAATCATAAGAAATTAATTATATGTATAATCATATTCGATTATTTCTCTCACACATTCTGTGATTATAATTAATCTCTTACGGATTAAATATTATATTTATTATAGATATTATAGATTTGACTAAAAACTGTCATTTGATTAATGTGGTTTTCTGACAGGTAAACCTCAAGATCGATTAATTCTGAATTACATGCAAGAATCGTCAACAAAGATAGATTGGCTGCACATTAAGATTTCTCAAATTTTGAACAAATTGTTTCCCAATAATGACGCTTTTGATCAGCCTGAAAGATTGTATATGTAGAAACTTTATACATATATATGATTATACATATAATTAATTTCTTATGATTTAAAAGTCTGAAAGTTTCTACATATACAATAATAATAAATTATTGTATATGTAGAAACTTTCAGACTTTTAAATCATAAGAAATTAATTATATGTATAATCATATTCGATTATTTCTCTCACACATTCTGTGATTATAATTAATCTCTTACGAATAATAAAAATTGTTTTCATTGGCAAGTGATAGTTTTTGGAACCGACTATTTTTATTCAAATTTATTAATTAATATAATGAGAGTTACTAATGTTATTGACAATGATGACTTTTTTATATTATAAACAAATTACTATAAAAGTTCGATTATATAACTGTGCAATATTCCGTGCTACGCGGAGTGTTTAGTTAGTGCGCGGACGCGAGTGTCAAGTTTAGGACGGCACAGAAAAAAAAAGAAAAAAATAAAGAAAGTTCACGGCACACAATATATTTTTACAAATAATTACACAGCGCAAAAGAAACGCTCTAATGCAAGTGAACTGCAATTAGAAGCGTGCAATGATTGCCGGAAGTGCAATCCAACGACAAAATCGATCTCCCGCGAGAAGTGCGACGAAAATCGAGAAGAGCGAAAAGGAATGCTGTCTGTACGCGCGAACGACCGTACGCCGATAGATCCGTTCGACAAGAGAGAGCGTGAACCAACGTGATTGTTTTCTACCGACCTTCGAGAGAGTTCCGAGGTAAGGAACACCGTGTTTGTGTTCCTTCCACATGACGATAGAATCCTCTCGAATGTCGGAGGACAAAATCACTTGTTGTCGTCGGTTATATTTATGACGAGACGGTTACCTGTCACCGTTCAAAACGACAGGTATTGCGAGCGTTAAAGACGCGCGCGGTCTTGCGATATGGCGGGGCGCGTTCGCTCGCGATTGGCGCACGGGGATTTAGCGCGAATCGTCGCCAAATTCGAGCGGCTATTTCAGCGCAGTTAGCTGCGCTTGTCGCAAGGCGAAGAATGCACTCCGAGATGCATTCCCACACACCCACACACACACACTTTCTCTCTCTCTCTCTCTCTCTCTCTCTCTCTCTCTCTCTCTCTCTCCAATCCGCAACATCCCGCCCGCCTTCGTCGGGAACACGCGACGAACTATCCTAGGGTTGCTAGGGATAGTGTGTCGACTGGTTTTATCGTCGCGGCCGCGGATCGAGCGCGAACGCGAGTTTTGACAGGCGAGGTTAGGAGCCCCATGTGCCACGTGCTGAGCGAGTGGAGCTGCGACAGACGACTAAATATGCGAGACAGGTAAGTATGAGAAGAGTTAACGCAGTACAATTGACAATAGTGAGACGAACGACTAATTTTATAACTAATTTTACAATATTTCACAGATATTTGCCGAGCGCGAGGTTGCACGAGACACGCGGTTACGCGGGGGTCCCGGACTCCACGGCGGCTACCGTCGGCAGTGGAACCAGCTTGACCACTGGCCGGGTCAGTTCACCGACGGTGGTGCGGACGTCCACCACGCGCACTTGGCCATCCTCGCCTAAGTGTAAGCGCGTAACTCGGGCGAGCGGCCACCGGCACGGCGGGGTGCTCTCTCCTTTGATGAGGCACAGCTGACCTTCGCAGAGGTTTCCCCGGGAGGTCCACCACTTGGGCCGTGGTGTGAGTCCCTGCAGGTATTCGCGGGTCCATCGCTGCCAGAGATGGTCCCGCATCTGCTGCAGAAGTCGCCACCGGTTCAGACGGTTAGTAGGGGCGTCCAAGAGGGACGGCTCCGGGATGCTGAGGAGAGGCCCTCCCACCAGGAAGTGCCCCGGCGTCAGGGCGTCAAGGTCGTCTGGATCATCCGACAAGGCCCCGAGGGGCTTTGAGTTTAGGCAGGCTTCGACCTCCGCGAGGAGCGTGGACAGCTCTTCGAAGGTGAGCTTAGCCTCTCCGATGGTGCGCCGCAGGTGATGTTTGACGGCCTTGACAGCCGCCTCCCACAGGCCGCCGAAATGGGGAGCCGACGGTGGATTGAAGACCCACCGAACTCCCTCGTCTGCTAGGCGGCCAACGAGGGCGTGGACTTCGCCGCTCGCCGCCCTGAAGAGCTCTCTGAGTTGTCGATCCGCACCCACAAAATTGGTGCCGCAGTCGCTATATAGGGCCGTGCATCTCCCTCGACGCGACACGAACCGGCGAAAGGCAGCGAGGAAGGCTTCGGCGGAGTAGTCGCTGGTCACCTCCAGGTGGACGGCGCGGGTACTGAAACATACGAAGATTACCAGGAAGCCCTTGTGAGCTTTGTGACCGCGGCCCTTCGTCGTCCTGAGCCAGACCGGGCCAGCGAGGTCCACGCCGGTGTGAAGGAAGGGTCGACTTGGTGTGACCCGCGTCCTCGGCAGATCCCCCATCTTCGGTTGCGGAGTGGCCGCCCGCCATCGCACGCAAGAGAGGCAGCGATGTATGTGACTTCGTACCAGTTGACGGGCGCGTGGGATCCAAAAGCGTTCCCTGATGTTCCCCACGGTGGACTGGACTCCTCCATGCAGGGTGCGTTTGTGAGCGGCATCGATCACCAGGTAGGTGAGGCGTGATTCCGGTGGTAGGATGACTGGATGTCGCTGGTCGGCATCCAGAACAGCGTGTTTCAGCCGCCCGCCAACCCGCAGGACCCCCTCATCGTCGAGCATGGGAGCCAACTTCCTGAGTGAGCTTCTGGTCGCCAGCGATTTCCCGGTACGAAGGTCCCGCAGCTCTAGGTGGAAGTTCGCTTCCTGGACTACCCGGATCCATCGAGTCAGGGCGGCGTCCATCTCCTCCGGCCCCAGTAGGTCAGGAGCGGCCTCGTCGCTGACGGGGCGGCGCTGGCGAGTTGCCCAACGCCAGATCCAGGAGGATACGCGTAGTAACCGGCGAAGGCTGGAGAATCGGCGAAGCTCTTCAGGTTCCAGCACTTCCCTGACCACGTGGCATTTTTGCGGTCGCTGTTCTGGCAGGCTGGTCTCTTCCTGGGATCCTACATCCTTCGGCCAGGTGTCAGGATGACCGCTGAGGTAGGTCGGCCCATGCCACCACAACGGATGGCGTAGCAGCTCCCTCGGCGACACCCCCCGGAAGGCGCAGTCAGCTGGATTGTCTCTGCCGGGTACGTGCCGCCATTTTGCGTCTTGGTTCTCTCGGTGGATTTCGGCGACTCGGTTGGCTACAAATGTTGTCCATCTTGCAGGGTGTCCTCGGATCCAGCCGAGCGTGACTGTGGAGTCCGTCCAAAGATGCACCGCCGATCCTTCTAGGCCCAAGGAGGACCGGACGTGTTCGGCCAGTTTAGCCAAGAGGGTGGCCCCGCAAAGCTCCAGGCGGGGGAGCGATACACGCTTGACCGGTGCGACCTTGGTCTTAGCGACTACCAGGGTTACGTCGGGCTGCCCGTCGATCACGCCCCTGAGGTAGATCACGGCAGCGTAGGCTCGTTCGGAGGCGTCGCAGAATCCGTGCAGTTGTTGCGAGTTGTTTGCAGCGTCACCCTGGAACCAGCGTGGCACCCTGATCTCCTCAAGCAAGGGCAGCTCCTCTTCCAGGCGGGTCCACTCGGCGGCGTCGTCCCTTGTCAGCGGAGCGTCCCAGTCTAGCTGCTGTATCCAGGCTGATTGGACGAGCAGCTTGGCACGTACTATGATCGGCGCCAACCAGCCTAGTGGGTCGAAGAGACGTGCTGTCTGCGAGAGCACCGATCTCTTCGTCGGTAGAACCGTTGAGGTTGGTCGTACGGAGAGGGAGAGAACATCCTCCCTTGGATTCCATCGGAGGCCCAGGACGGAGTGACTCTCAGACGGCAGTCGGGCACCTGTCATGACGTCCAAGCGATGTGCGAGCGGGATTTTTACCAGGAGGCGATCGTCGTTGGCAGCCCACTTCCTAAGCGGGAAGCCGCCCGCCGTACAGAGCGCGGCCACCTGGTCCAGGAGGTCGTTCGCTGCATCTAGGGTGGCGGCTCCGGTGAGTACATCGTCCATGTAGACATCCTGGCGCAGTACATCGGCGCCCAGCGGAAAGCGGCCAACCTCGTCGTTCGCGAGTTGATGGAGCACGCGGATGGCGAGGTACGATGCGCTCGCTAGGCCGTACGTCACGGTATTCAGCTGGAATTCCTTGACCTCATCTCCCTCTGTTCACAGGATCCGCTGCAAGTCCCGGTCGTCGCGGTGCAGCTGTATCTGACGATACATCATCTTGATGTCGGCGACAAAGACATAGCGGTGTCGCCGCCAGCGAGTCAAGGTGTCGGCTAGCGACGGCAGCAAGTTACGTCCGGTGAGCAGCCAGTTGTTCAGTGACGACCCGCCGCCAGTACGCGCCGAGCCGTTGAACACCACCCGGATCTTGGAGGTCGTGCTTGAGCTCCGTAGCACCCCGTCGTGAGGCAGGAAGCAGATTCTGGAACCTGGCGAGAGCGACGCGGCGGAGACAGGCGACATGTGTCCGAGTGTCAGGTACTCGTTCATGAAGTCGCGATACAGTAGACCGAATTCGCGATCTTGAACGAACCGACGCCTCATGACGTCGAGGAGCCGTGACGCGGCGCGGCGCGTGGAGCTGAGATCCGGCAGCCCCGGACGGAACGGGAGTCGCACCTGATAGCGACCGTCTTCAAGTCGCACGTGGGTGCGCACAAAATGGTCCTCGCACTCCCGTTCGTCAGCGGTCAGCGGCAAGGCGGCACGAGGATGCTCTTCGGTCTCCCAGAAGCGGCGCACGAGAGCTACCAGATCGTCCCCCGTGGAGCATTGTAGAGACGACACGGGAGCCGCGACGTGACCGGCTCCAACGACGCCCAGCAGCACCCAGCCAAAGCGAGTCAACAGGGCACCGGGCTCGCGAGGTCCTCCTCGGCGAAAGCCCTCCGGCAGAGCGAGGTCCAGATAGACATCGGCGCCAAGCAGCAACTCCACAGCATCCCGGCGGTGGAACTCCGGGTCTGCAAGCTCGAGACCGTCGAGGTGGGGCCAGGAACGGGCCTCGCCCTCCGAGGTTCCACCGTACACCGTGAGGCGTGGGAAGACAAGCGGCGAGACGGCGAGCGCAAAGTGTCCATCGCGAGAGGAGACGGTGGCGGTGATCCGTCCGTGAGTGACGCCCGTCTGGATGCCTCCCACTCCAAAGATGGCCACTGACGATGGGGTCCGCGGGAGCCGAAGTCGCTGCGCCAAGGATTCCGCTATCAGCGAGGTTTCTGAGCCCGGGTCGATCAACGCGCGGACCGCATGCCGAGTACCCACGCGGTCGGCCACGAATACACGGGCAGTTGCCAGAAGCGCCGGTCCACACTCCCGCGGTGGTCGCCTCGCGACGTGGACTGTCGCCGTCGGAGATGAGGATGCAGTCGCAGGTAAGGCCACAGCCGCAAAGGCGTCGTGCAACGTCGTGTGATGCCGGCCTGAGCATGTAGCGCACGTCTTGTGCGACTTACAATCGGCTAGCAGATGACGACCCAGGCAGTTCCAGCACCGCTGGTGAGTGTTGATGGCTTCCCGCTTCTCGCTAACCGTCTTGTACTGCTCACAATAAGCAATAAAGTGATCCTTTTTGCAGAGCGGACAGCTGCGGTGCGGATCAGGCCCCCTGGTACCCACATGGCTGCTGCGAGAGGAGCGGCTGGACTTCTCCGTTGGCTTGGCAGGCGCTACGGTCTTCACTGACTGGAGGACCTCCCAGGTCATCAGTTGTTCCTGGAGGAACTCCCGGAGCTTGTCGTAGGACGGAGGCTCCGACGACCTTCCGAGGGAGCTCTCCCACTCACGTCGAGTTTCAGCGTCCAGTAGTTCGACGACCAGGTGGACGAATAGATCTGTGCAGTCGGAGATCGGGCGCCCGATGCTCTTCAGTGCACCGACTGTCGTGAGCACGCCGTGGAACAGTCGGCGTAGTCCATCGGCTGACGGGGCCTTCAATCGCGGCAGCGAAGTGAAGGCTGTCAGGTAGGATCTGACCAGTAAACGTTTATTTTCGAAATACGTAGTCAATAATTCCCACGCATCCTCCAAGTTTTCTTCAGTAGAAGGCAGGTTGCGAATCAGCTGTTCAGCATCACCCTTTACGCTGGTTTTCAGGTAATGCAGCTGTTCAATCTTTGTCAAGGACGCGTCTCCTAGGACCATGGAGCTGAACAGATCTCGGTAGGCTGGCCAGTCCTCGAACTTGCCGCTAAACTGCGGTAGGTTGATCCGCGGTAAAGTTCGGCGGGACGGAGCCGTCTCTCGGACCCGTTTGCCGAGGGCGGGCCCCACAGGCTCGATGAACTGCTCCTCCAGTCCGGCGAGTTCGGAGCGCTGCCCATAATACGCCGTCTCAACCTTGCTGAGGAGGTCCTCGGTGGTGTACTTCTCCCGCTTGATCTCCTTCCAGAAGTGGGCGCGGAGCTCTTCATGCTGTTCCGTGAATTTGGCCCATTTATCGTCCAGGACGCGGATTGCAGCCTGGACAGTGTGGGCGTTCAATTTGCTCGCCCCGATCTTCTTCAAGTTCTCCACGCTACGCAGTATGCGTAGGTAGAGCTCATGCTGAGCGTCGATTATTTGATCCATGTCCATTTTCTTTGTCACAGGTCACTGGACACTCACACGGTCACGGAGCACGCACTCACCCCGACGGCGAAGTTCAATAGGTGCCGGGCGCGACAAATTATGACCTGTCGATGATCCGGCTCGAAGGACCAGCAAATGTGCAATATTCCGTGCTACGCGGAGTGTTTAGTTAGTGCGCGGACGCGAGTGTCAAGTTTAGGACGGCACAGAAAAAAAAAGAAAAAATAAAGAAAGTTCACGGCACACAATATATTTTTACAAATAATTACACAGCGCAAAAGAAACGCTCTAATGCAAGTGAACTGCAATTAGAAGCGTGCAATGATTGCCGGAAGTGCAATCCAACGACAAAATCGATCTCCCGCGAGAAGTGCGACGAAAATCGAGAAGAGCGAAAAGGAATGCTGTCTGTACGCGCGAACGACCGTACGCCGATAGATCCGTTCGACAAGAGAGAGCGTGAACCAACGTGATTGTTTTCTACCGACCTTCGAGAGAGTTCCGAGGTAAGGAACACCGTGTTTGTGTTCCTTCCACATGACGATAGAATCCTCTCGAATGTCGGAGGACAAAATCACTTGTTGTCGTCGGTTATATTTATGACGAGACGGTTACCTGTCACCGTTCAAAACGACAGGTATTGCGAGCGTTAAAGACGCGCGCGGTCTTGCGATATGGCGGGGCGCGTTCGCTCGCGATTGGCGCACGGGGATTTAGCGCGAATCGTCGCCAAATTCGAGCGGCTATTTCAGCGCAGTTAGCTGCGCTTGTCGCAAGGCGAAGAATGCACTCCGAGATGCATTCCCACACACCCACACACACACACTTTCTCTCTCTCTCTTTCTCTCTCTCTCTCTCTCCAATCCGCAACAATAACAGGTATAATAAACCTTAAACCTGATTTATGGCTGTCAATACCTAAAGCCGTAAATTGTAAAAAATAAACTAATCATATAGTTAAATGTCAGAAGAAGAATAATCGAACATAATGGATTAAATTTAAGGCTTACAGCATAAATTATTGTATATGTAGAATATAAAATTATTGTATATGTAGAAATAATCACTTGCCAATGAAAACAATTTTTATTATTTTATTATAAAAATAAGAAGACTGTGAACCTATCAATAATAAAATGTTTAATTCAGAATTAATTAATTATTTTTTATCATAATAATAAGGTAATCACTAAAAATACCTTCTAAAAACCTTTTTAATGATGTAGATCTGTTTCGAGAATTTTTTTTTTATTTATTTGTCTCACACTATCGTAATCAGATTTTGTAAGTATATCTTGAGATTCTGGAGATTGCTCAAAAGTGGAAGCCTTTTCAGATAAATCAAAATTGTAAGAAGAATTTAGAGATCTCAAAGTTGATGACATTCATTGTCAGACAAGTTTTCTTTATTAGTAGATTTTGAAAAATAAAGGTACAAGAACATATAAGGATAGTCTACTACTATTAAATGCTGCAATAAAATTCCAGTAATTAGAAATACAAACCAGATTGTGTAGATTTTTCCTGCAATAATCGACGAACAAGAGTTGTATTTTTCTTTGATGATGTAGATGAAAGATTTGAATTAGCAAAATATTCATTCGTAGACTTAGCTGAATTCTTGGCTTTGCTACTCTCGAATAATTCCTTGAGCTTTGAAGATAGAATTGAACTAGGTTTTGGAATATTGTGTCTTTTCTTAAGTTTCTTTTTTTTTTAATCTTCAACATACTCAAAATCTGATGAAAATGTTAGATGTTCAGGCACCTTTATACCACATTAAACCTCTACCATTACGTTGTAATTCAACTTTGCGTGGAGTTTGCAGTAAAGTTTTGTGAGATTTTGGTAAAAAACTATGGAGGGATCGTAGTCCTACAAGAATTATATCAACTTTTCTATGTGCAACACCTCTCATTGCCCCTATTTCTTCACAAATTTTAATAGATATTTATCAAAATTCTGTGTTAATTGAATATCATTCTGATCCTGGAGATTAATTACAAATTCTTCCTTTGAATCAACATCAGTCTCCACATTTGGCTTAAAACTAACATTGTCTTCATCTAATTCATCATTATTATTGCAAAAGTTGTTTTGATTCTCTTCTGAATGAATTGATAAATTATCACATGAATGTTGATTATGACCTTCTAGTTCAAAAATTTCTAACGCATCATTAACTTGTGTCAAAGTCTGTCTTACTTCTTCGGTCTTAAGACGCTTTCTGACCTCTTTCACAGATGAAGCATGCAGCTTGCGTTTCATATTTTGCTTTACATACAATAAATAAATTTAAGAGAATATATTATATATACCTAAATGTGTATATGTGACAGCATAAAAGTCTGCAAATTTAATAAATAAGATAATATCGCAACAGTACTATATATAATATAAATATGACAGTACAACAAAACACAATATGAAAG